ACTCCCAGAATTCCCCAGCCAGCTGGGGAATTCTGGGAGTTGAAGTCCACACATCTTAAAGTCACTGAGATTGAGAAACACTGTTCTAGAGCAATACCACACTGAGAGTCCATGGGATTTTTGAACATCTAAATGATAAGCAGCTTCCCAGGTTCATGTATAATATTAAGTTAAATTAAGCCCTCAGCCTAGGGACTCTGGCCTTCAGGAAGTAATTAATTCCTTGCTCCTTATTCTTCATGCTCCCCATTTTCTACTCCAGATCCCATCTGGCCATCCATTTCTTATTCCTTTTTTGTATTTTTGTACAATTAAATATTTGATCAGAATAATTGAGTGGCCCCTTTATGAAGCTAGACGATGAATGTATGCAGTTTTCTATCATTTCAGTTTATAGGGTGTATGTGTGTGTGAGAGAGAGAAATGTGATGAAATATGATATATGATATGATATGATAACACAACACCATGGTGCAGAATTATGACCACTGATTCCCAAATTCATTTACTTCAAAAAACTAATCTGAATTTTGAAACTAAGCACAATCCACAAATATAACAATGCTTTCTGCTTTAAAAAAAAAATACAGTTTATTCACCCAGTTCATGCACTTTGCCCCCAAATTAACTATGTACACTGAAATGAAAATCTTATGTATTGTGAATATCATAAACTTCATGTTCTAAAACTGACAAGAACTGGCCATTTTATTTCAGTGAAGATGACATTGTATTAACACTCTTTATTTCTAATATCTGTGTTGTGTTATTTTTATGTCATAAGACGTGGCGGACCACTTTTGAGGGCTGAACGGATGGATGCAAATGATATATTTACATAAATATTTTTGTACGTCAGGTATAATGAAGCTCTTGTTTATTTCCAGAGTTGTGTTAAAGCTGTGGGCATTTTAAATGATTGTAATTTGGGGGGGAAAGGTCATATACAACTTTGCAAATTTGAATTGGCATAGTCAGTGGCATTTAGAAAATACATACAAGACATCGAAGTCAAGAACAGGGAATAAGAAGGGAAATCCCTTTTAATAAATACAAAAACTGCCAATAGAAGCAAAATGTTACAGCATTCATGCCACATTATTGTTTAATGGCAGTCTAAACATCAAAAAGAATGACTCCAGCTGCTTTAGCACACTGGAGTAATCCAGCTAGGGTTTCATTTAAGTATCCCAGCAGTTCATGACATGACTGTGTAACTATGCATTTGGTATTTTAAAGAACCAAGCTTCAGACCCAGAGGTGAGAAATCTGTGTTTCAGTAGATGCTGTGGATTTCCAACTCATATCTTAGCCAACATTGTCAATGATTAGGGATGCTGAAAGTTCAGAAACATCTCGTAGGTCAAGAGTTCCTCAACACCGCCCTAGCTGTTGTAGTTACAAAGATTAGCAGCAGCCTTTTTAGCGGTGCACGGTGTCCTACACAACTGCCTTTACTTAGTAGCCTTCAATGAGAAGGGGGAAATGTGTGAAAATAGGAGCCACCATCAAGAGAGGAGATGAAATTTGGGGTTTTTTTTAAGTAGAAGTGCATGAAGACCAAAGCTATATTGGTTCATCCTTCTAGTTCACTCATGGTTTCAAGTTACTGCCATCATTGCTTTAGCTCTATACACCCAAATCTCTTCTTTGATCTAGCTCAGCTTTTGCAGATGTAAGTCATTGGTATTAAACACACTAGTTAAAGGAAATATTTAGGCTCCAAGTTAACGGACAGTGTGGACAAGTCGATAAAAATAAATGCATAGAAGTTTCCCACAGGTATTTGGCTAGCTTCTGTTATCAAAAGAGTAATCTAGATGCAGTACAAATGCACCATTGGAAGAGCTGAAGGACCAGGTTAGGAACAGATCATCATGGAGAAAATCTATCTATGTGGTCACTAGGAGTCAACAAGGACTTGATGGCACATATTCCTCATCATCAGATACAGTACAAATACAGCTTTTCTAGTGCCACCTCCAGATTTATGAGCTAGAAGAAAGCGGTAACATTTTTTTTTCAACTGGGAATAGCCAGCTAGTAGCCACTTAGGATGATGAACCAGCTTGATGCCTCTCTGTAAGCCAGCCATCATGGCACAACAAGACAAGCATTTATGGGGCATTCCCATTTTATCCATAAGGATGGGCAGCAAACAGATCCTATAAGTCCCACCACCCTTTGCCCTGGCCCATTATGGAAGATCTTACTGTATCAAACAGGCTAACCCTAAATCATTCAAATTAATATCTCTCAAATCATTTATCTTTTGGGAGGGAGGGTTTTCTTTAAACAGCAGTCAGCTGATAATTTCTCCCCTTAAGGTGATGCTTCAGGGTTCTGTTTACAAACGATGTAGATATATAAAAGAATATAATATTGCCGCTGTCCAGATGCCAAACGTATCTCGAGAAAGCTGTTCAGCACCCCAAAGAAGCAGGATTGGACTTCTAAAAACCCATAAAACTCTTCGATAATTCCCCACTCCCCAAATTTCTATGGAAAAAAAAAAAGATTTTCTTCTCCTTTTTTATATTTTTAAATTTTTTCACATATGCATGAATCTTACTGATTTCTTTATTTTTTTTGCCACTCACGTTTTTTTCCCCATAATTATTTTTGTTCAGTTGCCCTACCCCAGGCTGTGATGGCAGCGGACACATCACGGGAAATTATGCTTCTCATCGCAGGTTAGTTGACCTTACCTACCCTACTCTCTTCAGGTTCTGACCGTCTCTTAAAAATCTTTCCTTTTCCTTTTTTTTTTTAAAATAGAGTGTGGATACTTTGGTTCTATTCCCTCTTCCCCTTGCTTTTATCTTCCCTACTTTTTTTTTTTTTTTTTAGCTTACCCAACTATTCCATCTCTTCTTTTACAGCCTTTCTGGTTGCCCCCTTGCTGACAAGAGTCTCAGAAATCTCATGGCTGCCCACTCTGCTGACCTCAAGTATGTTTGCGCTCAACTTGGATCTCTGTCTCCTTCTCCCTGTCACTCTCGCTTCTTATTCTCTTTCTTGCAATTTCCCTTTAGCAGGAGCCAATTCTACATCTGCCTGTGAGCTGATTGGACCTGCCCGTTCACAATACGGGAATGGGAAGGGGCGCGCACTTTTGATGAGTGTAGGAAAAAGGGGCCTGAAATTTTTACACACACACTTATATATACTTTTGAATCTCAGGCAGATTTGTATTGGCCATCCTAGACTTATGCTATCCCATTTTCCCCCAAACTCTCTCTTGATGGTTTTATAGACGCTGCAACATTAGCAGTCCTTCTTCTGGATAACAGCACCATTTTTGTTAGCTGAGTTGATAACCTATGGGCCCCAGGCTAAGAAAACGACAAAATTGCTGGTCTATGATGGGACGTTTGTCCAAAATTTCAAGTTTTTCAAACCGCAGTCTTGCTTCTCCCTGTGTGAGACTTGAAAATTTCTATCAGTTCTTCCACCTGACGATGGCATTGTTTTTCTTGTTAAATTAAAACTAAATTAATTATATTGAACCTTTCTCTACGCATTAGGCAAAGTTACTATTCTGTAGGATCAGGATAATGGCAAGAGTTGTATGTTCCCCTTGAGATGGAGTTGAACTGGCAGAGGAAGGACTGTATGGGAATCAAAGAAAGAAAGAGGATTTGTTCATTTTTGAAGCATGAACCTAACTAGCCCCATTCACCCTACATCAAGCATTTGGTGACACTTCTATCCATTTGTTTTTCACGTCCATGCACACGGTTTGCCACACAAACAACCTTTTTAAAAAACTCTTTTTCTCAGAGGCAGTCAGCTGATACATAACTTCAGAGTTTATTTCCCACCCATTCTTATTTGTATTGCTGTGTTTAGCACACAGTGAATATTCTCTTGACAGGAGCAATCACTGAAACCTAATGCCTTAGGACTAACTCATCAACCATTATTTCGCCACAACTAATCTACAGAAAATATTTATCATGGTGTAATAAATTAGAATCTGAACTGTCCTGGGGTGGCTTATAAATGTACAAGCTCTGTCATATTGTTTATTTATTGAATAATTTATATACCACTTCCTATACAGTTGCATCTTGACAAGATAGTAGGCAATCTACACCAGTGTTTCTCAACCTTGGCAACTTTAAGACACGTGGACTTCAATTCCCAGAATTCCCCAGCCAGCCAGCCAGCCAGTTGGAGTTCACATGTCTTAAAGTTGCCAAGGCTGAGAAACACTGATCTAAACAAATACGCACCACACAGAAGATGAATGGATCTCAAAACATGGTCTTCTGAATCAGTTCAGAGATCAATCAAGAAGAGAAAAAAAGCAATCCAAGGGGGAGGATATATATTGACCAAATATTGATTCAGTTGATCCTTGAATGTAAATGGGATGATTATATCTGAGGTCCCAGCCACCCAAATATTCTTCTCCTTATGGGAAAAGTGATAGATATTTTAACTGTATTCCAAAAGAGCCTAGGGTTATTAAAGCAGTTCTGGATCCTGAATAATGCCCAAACCTACTTTGTTCAGTTCTTTTCCCATGAACGCACAGTATAATTAAAAATGCAGACTCAGATGAACTTTGCTACAAGCCAGTATGTGCCAAAATGCAGCTTACCTTTTAAGGGAGTGGTGCTGTTCATGTCAGATGATTCTCTGGTGCCCTTCAGTATCGTTCTCGTTTCTTCACCATAGCAGAATTTCACACACATCTCATCTCCCCAGAAAGGTAAGTGTCTCCCAGCCCCCACTCTGGCCTTGCTGATTTATTTTCACTTCAAAGACTTCTGCCTGAATTCTTAATATACCTAAAGAAGAAGCAAACTGAATTTCAGTTCTCTGTTCGTTCAGAAAAATTCTGAAGGGGGTGATACACTTAAGGTTGATTGTTTCCACACTGACCTGCATGTATGAATGTTCCCTCAGATCAAATACTACAGACAGAATTTTTTATCAGCTCACATCATCTCATACATCACACACATTTCCCCTAAGATCTGTTCATTCATACAATTACCAACCACTAAAGGTTGGCTCATCAAGCTGAGATAAATTAAAGTTTGCATATTCTTAGGGTGACCTTTGAGTTGGCCTAATGTAGATCCTTCATGGGGACAGCGGAATAACCTGATCATGAATCACTTCAAGCTCCAGACGCTGCCAGTTGTCTTAATAAGGTGCTAATTACGCTAGTAAAGATGTGAATTGTTGTTATAAGGAGTTGAGAGAGAGAGTTGTTCAACGTTGCAATGTAAAGGGAGGTAGAATTTGGTTCATGTGCAATATGGAGAATACCAAGTCGGAGGGTGGAAATTATTATTACCCTCAGGACTCCTGTCCGTTTTAATCACATCTCATCTTCAAGATTCTGGATGAATTTTTACAACACTTGTGAAGTGGTAACTATTTTTATTACACTTCTAGGGAAGATATTTTGCATCCCTCTGTAACATTTAAAAAACTACCTGCTTGTGCAAAAAAATAGTTTCTGTGCACCATTTTTCTTGTCAATCGGCTCTTAGAAGTAGAAAAGAGAAACTACTGTCGGTATTCAATTGTTTCTGAATGCAAAGCTGAAAAGATTCAGGAAGTAGTTGGATGAAATAAGAGCAGATCTTATTAGGGCATTCCCACAACCATCTCCCAAGGATGCTTCAATTTGGATTTTTGCACCAAGCAGGAGGTTGGATTCAATGGCCTAATGGGCTTTTCCAACTTTACGATTCTTTTATGAGTCTATTAATCCATTTGGAAGTAATAAAAAGCCCTCCTCCCCCATGGTCCAGCCAAAAAAAGGAAATAAAATAAATTGCTGACACCATTCCCACCCCATCCATGTCTTTCAAAGCACAAATTTGCGAGCATTTTTCTGATAGTTTGCAAAAAAAAAAAATCTTATCGGTAGGTGTAATGGGAATTTGAGATGGAAGGTTGATAATCGAAAATATACCATATATAATTGCAGATAAGCCCATCTACGGATAAGCCGACCTTTGAAATTTCAACCAAAATACCATGAAAAATGTATCACTCATGGATAAGGTGACCCTCAAATTTTTGACCGCAGCGATGGTGAAACTGCAAACTGTAACATCGTCATTTATAAAACTGCACAATTTTAAGGCCATGACAGGCTTTTAAAAATTGAAGCTCTGGTCTGCAGACAAGCTGAACCCAATTTTGGGGGTGTATTTTGGAATCTAAAATTCTCAGCTTATCCACGCGTATATACAGTAAACACAAAGGAAGCCTTTTGAGCGCTGAAATCCTCGGAAGTCTTCGTGACAGACATGACTCCGTTCCTTTGTTCTATTTAAAAGCCCCTGTGGGTTATGAAGAATGATACCATACCACCAATTTTGCAACCAAGAGCTGTTCCCATTAGCTATGCCCATTGCTGCATGTTGCTATAAAGGGGAGCAAAGTAATACAGATAGCCCTCACTTAACGACTGTTCATTTAGTGGCCATTCAAGTTACAATGGTGCTAATAAGTAACTTTCAACCAGTCTTCACACTTACAACTGTCGCACCGCCTCCATGGTCACGTGATCGCAATCCAGGCACTTGACAACTGGCATGCATTAACAACAGTTGCAGTGTCCCAAGGTCACGTGATCACCATTTGTGACTTTTCCAGCCAGCTTCTGGCAAGCAGAACCAATGGGGAACTGCAAGATTCACTTAACAACCATGTGATTTGCTTAACAACCACATGATTCACATAATGACCACCACAAAAAATGTCATAAAATTGGATGCGGTTGCATGATGCCTCACTTAATGACCGCCCTGCTTAATGACAAACTTTCCAGTCCCTATTGTGGTTATTAAGTGAGGACTACCTTAAGTTTGAAACAATGCATACAGGAAGAGATAAGATCTAATAATAGGACCTCTAATAATAAGAGTAGAATGTATAACTGCAGGAATTGGTGGGCTCCCTTTACTGGATGTCTTCAAACACCAGGTGGCCCACCAGTGGTTGGGGATAATATACAAGTAGTCCTTGTTTAGCGACTACTGGGACTGGCAACTTGGTCATTAAGCAAAGTGGTCACTAAGTGAAACGGCGACTGTGTTTATGATCTGACTTCAGCTTTCCTTTGCTTTACAGACCTGCGAAGGTTGTCAATGCGAGGATTGGTCATAAAGTTACTTTTTCATCACAGTCATAACTGTGAATGGTCACTGTACGAGGCAGTTGCTAAACAAGGACTACTGGTAATTTGAATTCCTGCAGAGAGCAGGGTTGGATTTGATGGCTTAGCTCCTCCCTTCCAAATCTAAGATTCTATGAATGTGGGGAAATTGCTTGAATCTTTCATTCCAGCACAACTTTTTGTTCTCATGGTCATCCTGCTTCCCATCTCCATTCTATTGTAATAAATTCAATAGGACCATGCATTCTCTTGGTTTTATGGTTTTCTTTCTTTCTTTGTGCTCCTAGAATCATAGGAGGCAACATGTCTTCAATAAGAAATTACTGTGATAACTCAAGAGAGAGAACAATCCTTCTATGAAAACAATTGATTCTGAAATTGTAGACTGGATTTGCCTTACTTTGATGTGTGATCTGAAGGGAAGCAGATTTACAATCATGTTAATGTCATTTCAAATTTCCTTAAAAAAGATTTACCTACAGCAAAAAAAAAAAAGTTTCCACCCACTCCTGAGATTATTATTTCTTCTTCTCCTTCTTCTCCTTCTTCTCCTTCTTCTTCTCCTTCTTCTCCTTCTTCTTCTCCTTCTCCTTCTCCTCCTCCTCCTCCCTCTTCCTTCTTCCTTCTTCCTTGTCATTTATTCAGGTGCCCAACTCCCGGCTGTGATGGATCCGGTCATATAACAGGAAATTACGCATCACATAGGAGGTAAGCTGAAAACGTGTAGAAAAATGAGAGAGATGGCAGAAGGGGAAGGAAGAATTAAGGCATTTAGGAAACTCACAAGCACAGACCTCCTTGGATAAGGTCAAAAAAGTCAAGATGGTGGCTACAACCACACAAATTCCTGACCCATGGTCATGGCCGCCATCTTGATTATTTTTTTTTATCCACCCATCCCACTTATTTATTTATGTATTTATTTAAAATTGATTCATATAGCCACCCATCTCACTAATGTGACTCTGGGCAGCTAACAAAGGTTAAAAAGTACAATATGAAAAAATACATATTGCCCACTCAAACACAAAGTGGCTACCGCAGACACCATACACAGGCAGGGTGGGCTCAATTACTCCCCCAACTGCCATGACTGGGGAAACAGGCAGCTCTTCGAGGCTTTCCGAAAGGGGAATAGGATTGGAGCTAAACTAACCATCAATGGGAGGTTCTTCCACAGGGTAGGTACAGCTACAAAACAGGCGCACTTCCCAGGTCCCACTAGATGATAGTTCCTGATCAATGGGACCTGGAGCACAAGCCTCCTGCTTGACCTAATGGGAAGGGTAGAAACTTGTTAGACAAACGTGCTCACAAGCCTGGGTTGGAAGGAGATGGCCTGCTTCTACTATCATGGCAATCAATGTTTAATGCATACTGCATTCTGTTATTATCGCCTATCAACAAAGTAGAGTTCTAGGATGTTTCCTGACCTGGCTGACCTCAAAGGACTGACATTGATTTTGAAAGCTTGACAGCACTTCCCCTTTACCCTCTTATACCAAAGGCAGTCAAGGCAGGGCAATCTTGACTTTCTTTCTCACACCTTCCTGTGTTCCCAAGCTAATTTCATGTTTTGCTAACAGTTGCTCTCCATCTTGTCTATAATCCCCTCATCTGTTTTTCAAAGTTTTGCTTTCATTTTCTTCCCAGAAAACAATTCCTCTGCTCCCTCCTCACTCTGAATACACTCCCTTCTCCCCACTCTCCCCTCTGGCTCAGCCACTCTTCCTCCTTCCCTCCCCTCAAGTTCATCTTTTCGTACTCAAGTCAGACTTTCCTACAAAATTGCCCTCTTCCCCCTTTTGTTTCCCAGCTGGACATTCAGATTGGTGGAAGGCTTCCAGCCAATCAAAACTGAGAAACCCTCACTGCATTCTGACTGGTGGAGAGCTTCCAGCCAATCAAAGCTGAGAAACCCTCACTGGTGTTCTGATTGGTGGAGGGCTTCCAGCCAAACAAAGCTGAGAAACTCACTGGCATTTTGATTGGTGGAGGGATGCAAGGCAATCAGAGCTGACAAACTCCACTTGCACACAACACACTGTCACAGCCACCATTTAACTTTTTGGATCATACCCTGCAGCTACGCTTGGCACTGGTTTTTCCTAGTGGTCTCCCATCCAAGTTCTAACAACGTCCAATATTGCTGAGCTTTTTCAAGATCAGCTAAGATTGGTTAGGCACTTCCAATTTAGGTTTTTTTTTTTTTAATAGGAAGCAATATAGGCAAACATTTTAAATTAGTAATAAAAATCTGCAGCCCAGAAGTTGCATGCGATTGCTGGAATAGTTTTTTTGCAGCCCCCTTCAGCTATGATGGCTGAAAATCAGTGATCCTTTTCTAATCACTTTGACACAACAGAGAGGGATAGATTTCCCAGGTTTGGGATTTTCACAATTTCTCTGCTTCAGCCTAGGTCTCCTGGTCAGTTTACAAAGTAAATCCCAGAAATTAGGGCTCTACAGACCCACACGACTGTCCCCACTTATTCCCCATTCATCTGCACGACAGTATAAAAAAGTCTCCTCTTCTCTGTTAGCCAATAGAGAGAAGACAGTCAAATTCAAGTAAAAAAAAAAAAAGAGGAGATCCTAAGGAACTTTCTAATGCAATAAAATATAATAATCTCCCCCTCCCGCTCTGCAATTTCTCCAACCTCCTGTCTGGGGCCTGGGGGACTGGACAGGCTGTGACTAAAATACATATTACATATGCATTCCTAGAAAAACTAATTCCATTTCAATTCCGCAGACATTTCTAGTTGCTCTTGGCACAATAGACAAATTGCAATGTATCTGTGAAAGTTAGCAAGAGATGAATCCTACTTTCATCTCTTTAATCTGATTTTTTTTAAAAAAACTAAACTTCCCAGAATCAGATTACTAACATTCTCTTCAGCAGCACAGAGATAAAAGGGTCAGATTTTAGCTGATGCAAAATTCCTGTTAATAACACCACTGTATTTATGACTTCTATTATCTTTTTTGAACATTAATGAGGACCTCACGGTCTCCCATTTGAACAGCTCCATTAACATCTGCCATCTGCTAGCAAATACCTTCTTAGCCAGACACTATTAATTGCAAACCCTCTCCCCTCAAAGCAAACGGCTGTCTTTTTCTTCATCTTCTTTTTAATTTTCACCAACGCTTTCCTCCCTTTTGAGGTGTGGAAACAGAAATTATCAGATCAAAGCATGTGCAGGAATATCAAAGGGAGAAATGGTTCCTTTTCAGTGTTAGGATGAAAACGGGATGTTCATTTGCAGAGAAAGAGTTTTTTCATCAGTTAATACTTTCCAGTGAGAAGGGGTGTATGGAAGATTTCCCCAACTTGGGGGCCAGCAGATGAGTCATTTAGACACCATAACTTCCTCTTTCTTTCGCACTGGCACATCCAGCTTAGCCAGGGGTATTAGCTATTTCAATTTCTGCAAAGCATTTGAAAATTCTGCCTCTTCCTCCAAGGAACAGACAGGCACTCATCAGACTGAGATCAAGGAGAAGTCATGATTGCGGGCAACAGACCAAGGCTGTTCACCTACATGCTCTCACTGCCTTTGTCCCCCCTAAAAACAAGGCCCCCATTGGCACATAGCAAGCAGTTCTCTGCTAGGCAAGATCCAGGTAAACCAAGCTGGAATGGAGGAGAAACAAGGTAGAAAAAGTTGCCACCTAATTTATATAACACTTTTGAACTTAAAGTTGTCTTAAGGATGACAACTAACATTCGTCCTCAACTGCATTGGGAGGAAGTTGAACCCAGTAGATACGTTAACTTACCACAAGGTCAGTCTTCTTCTATCCTGTTCCCCCTTCCTTCCTCCACTTTATCTTAGCTCATGAACTTTGCCAAATTTAGATCATGGGCATTTAGATCAGGTTTAGAGAAAGTAGCATCCTCTTTGAGTTTAGGCAAGCCACGAATGAAAATGGAAAAAAATAAAGTGACTAGAATCTGGGCATGAGAAGAAATTTGCCAGATGCCATATGATGCTCTTATTTTTTCTTATGTTTTAAAACATGTAGTTTATCAGGTTGCCCTCGTGCCAAGAAAAGTGGAATGAAAATCACACCCACAAAGGATGACAAGGAGGATCCTGAGCTGATGAAGTAAGTAAGGAGGAAATTTCTGAACTGTTCACAGAAGCTATTTTATTCAGTCAGTCCTACCTCAACTACAAATATGGAGAAACAGCTTCATTAGTTTTATGTGATGCATCATTTTCTTTTAGCAAAAACATGCCTGGCATTACATAGCAGGTTGTCAGCGTAGCATAAAAGTTATGCCAAGGGTGTAGATTTATTAAATGAGTTTCCAGAAAAAAATGTATCTTTGTTGGCTGACAGTAAGGGGAATGAGTCCCTTTTTAAATAAAAAAGGATATTCTGGCACTTGCTTTGAGCATACACACACCTAGAAACCCTTAGTGTCACTGCTTGTTGTTCTGATACGTTTGGAAATATTTAATTATGTCAAATTGGTTGGAATTTCTGTACTGCATTTTTATGTCTGCATATTTCAGTGTAGGAACTACTGAGATTTAAATATAATTAGCTTAACCCACGCAAATCATGTTGGTGACACTGATAGAATGATTTCTGTGATACCATCTTACTTCAATTAAATTTCAAATGCCAGAATACTTAATTGGCAAATCGTCATCGTTGTCATCATCATCATCATCATCATCATCATCATCATCATCATCATCACAGATTAAAACCCTTCCCTTTCCTAATTAACCAGTAGCCCTCATAACAAGGAAGACTGAATCCAGAACATAATGTGGTGGTAAAAGGTATGCCCCCCCATAAATATGTGAGCTGTATTCGGTACCAAACCTATGAGTTCCCCACCACCACCACATGTGAACTGCTTAAAGTGCCCTTGTAAGAAAACATTCACAGAAAGCTGAATTGACCCCGAATGGCAAGAGGGGGGAGAATCAGTCAGGAACTGTAATGGTATGCAGGAATGACCTTGGGAGACAGGAGGAAGAGCCGCAGACTAGGCCATGGTCAGATAAGAGGCAGCTGAGCCCACAGAAGGAATGGGGGCCTGGCAAACATCTCAGAAGGGGCCCTCCCTAGTTTCTTGGACTGTAAAGGCGAGGGGGGAGAGATGTCCTTTCAGACTTGCAAGATCCTGGTAAGGTAACCTTACAGTAAAGTTAGAGCTAGTACTTCTGGGTGTGCTTCTGGTCTGGACTACCTCACAAGGCTGATAGGAACCTGTGGCCTGGTAAACCAAACTGTTTATATTCACTGGCCATATCCCAAAGATATTATAGCTGCCCTGCTGACCCATTAGTAGGACAGGATAACTAATGAGGTCACCCAGATGGGTTTATCAAAAACATTCCAACATCATGCTGTAATTTACCCTGTGTCTGTCTTTTTCTTCGCCTTGTCTTTGCAATGTAGTAGGCCAAAGGTATATAAGCTGTGGTCCTGCTTTTGCTCAGGGCTGCCCAACTAACTCCCAATGCTTTGCTGGGAGCCCAGAGTGGATGCTGTTTTACTGTTTGCATACTAATAAATTTATGCTGTATCTTCAAAGTGATTTGGTTGCTTTAGGTGAACCGGGTTTGGGCTACAACAATATCATTCTTAAAGGTCTACCAGTAGTCCTTGCTTAACGACTGCCCTGTTTAGCGACCATTCAAAGTTACTACGACGCTGAAAAAGTAACATTACAACTGGTCCTTGCATTTATGACCATCACAGCATCCCTGTGGTCACTTGATTGAGATTTGGGCACTTTGCAACTGGTGGGCATTTAAACCATTGCAGCATCCTATGGTCATGTGATCACTATTTGCGCATTTCAGAGGCGGCTTCTGACAAGCAGAGTCAATGGAGAAGCTGGCAATAAAATTGCAAGTTGTGGTCACATGATGTCTTGCTTAATGATCCGTGGCGACTCACTTAATGACCATGGTGGAAGTGAGGTCGTCAGTCCATCACGGTCAGGTGATGTCTCACTTAACAACCGTGGCACTTAGTGACAGAGTGGCTGGTCCTAATTGTGGTTGTTAAGTGAGGACTACCTGTGTTGTCCTGCAAACTACAAAGATATGTTGGGTCTGTTCTCTTTCTACTCAAACTGATTTTAAAAGTGAAATGTTCAAAACTGCATTTTCCTTCTTACAAAGAATGGCAATTTTTGTTCATTCCATGTAAAATTGACTTTCAAGAAACTGTCTCCTATATGCAGCACCCCAAAGAGACTTATATTAACTTGTTACCAGAGGCAAATATATTTAAATTCAACTGCCTGGTTGTCTGAAAACCACACAGTTAATAGTTCCAAAAAGATTTATTCGAGAGACATCCGATGTTTCCATGAGAGTGTTAAGTTGATCCCTGGAGGGCAATTCTTTTTCAGTGGAAGCCCAGGGTAGAAAGAGTAATCTCCTAATTCTAGGTAATCTTTTACCATGCGAGAGAATAATACAAACACCCTACTATCCCGGTTCACTTTTGTGAGATCATTCTAGCAGGATTTCTAAGTGGCAGGACAAAACAGTTTCATGTTGAGGCTATTTTGAATGTTGGCTCCTTTGGAGGATAGGAGGTAGTCAGTCATTTTTGGCAGGCATCCCATAAACTGAGTTTCAGATAGGGCGTGGTGCTACTTTGGTGCTCTGCAACTGCCTCCCCACATCTCTGCTCCTCACTTGCCTCCTGCTAAGTTTGCTTTTTCACCATCTTTTGGAACTTTTCTCCAGAAACCTCAGGAAATCAAACAAATGGATGTTTCTCCTCCTTGGTACATCCCTTTACAAGAAGAAAGCTTTGAGCACTAAAGTAAGAACGTTGGGGGGAAAGTATGGGAAGCTATAGTACATATGCCCCAGATCAGAGTTTTCAGATCAGTCAGGAGAGGTCTGCAAAAATTCTCCAGGGTCCTGGAAATCTTGCCTATGGTTCATTCATTTCCTTTCCCAGAGCATGTTGTTTGGGAAGGCTGAGTGGGGTGCCCAATGGACAAGATTGGCTGATCTTTGACAAAATGGATCAATTCATAATAGGATCTCTCAAAGACAAGGATAAACACAGCTACAAACTACATCCTGAGAAGGGTGTCCTTCTCAGCTGGACACCCCACTCAGTCTTCTCGTGGAATGCAATCCTTTATCGTATTGCAAGAAACAATCACTATATAAAATCGTTGACAGTTTCTGGGTGAACAGGAAGAATTGTTCAGAATTTATACCTTGTCAGATTTGAAACATTTCAACTTCTCTTGCAGCACCGCGCTCTCAAGAGATTTGGATTCCCTCTTATTTGTAGCCCTCCTCATGTCCATTGATGACAGATGCTTGTTTACATTCTCGGCATTCATGTCCCCCCATTCAGATAAGGCCACCAAGATAAGTTGGAATCTTCCAGCCTCCAACTGAGCCCTGACTTTTCATAAATGATAGCCAGACTGGAAAGTCTTGATTTTTTTTTTTAATTTACTGACTTATTGATTATCACACTTATACCCTGCTATTTTTATTTTTATTTTTTTTAGAATTTGAGGCTCTATACATAGAGGTCTCCATTTATTTTACACTCAAAGCAGCAGTCTTGTGAAATAGGTTGGGCTGAGAAAAAGTGGCTGGCCCAAATC